GTAGGTGAAAGGCATGACTAATTAAGGTGAGCTATCCAGGCAGATCGTGACAATCCAGCTGTTAGAATCACTATATACAACATAAATGATGCCTAATGAACTAATTTTAGCTTCATTTCAATCATTGTCTATTATTTACTTGGAAATTTGCTGGTTTCTATCAAATTAACACTTTTGGTATCTATGCTTCATGGTATCCTTTAATGATTTTTATATAATTGAAAAATTTCATCTTTTTAGGAACGTCCTCTGACTGCCAGAGAGAGAAGACGTCTGAGGCAGTCCCAAGACAGCGCAGGACCAGCAGGTAACGCCACCTGCCCATCACTGAAGGCTGTTTCATTAAAAAGAATGCATCTTTAAATGGGTTTTTGCTGCTGTTTGAGAATTTCATAAAGGAATTTTTTTTTTAAATCAGAAAACCCATCCACATATTGAAGCATCATTTTCCACATACTTTTGTTCCCTTAACAGTTTGACTGAAATGTTCTGTGAATTATTAGACTGTTATAAATTCAGAGGAACTCCTAGTTGGTTGTTTTCTACCTTGCCTAGGTCCTAGTGCTGTGCGAAGGTCATCGTATGATGTCAGCTCTGCTAGAGCTGAGCGACATGTCCTCGTTACTCGATCTGCTTCATACTCCATGACAGAGTCCATTAGTAAGGTAAAGTCAGCCCAGACTTTTTTTTAATGTATTTTTCTACAGTTCAGAAAAGGCAAACATTTAAAAATGTATTACCAAATACTATGTTCACAAGAGTTTGGTTTATTATCTTACAGCACGATAAACTGGCAGAGCAAAGATCAGATGAAGATGAGTGCAGCTCATCTACAAGCTCCACGGAGCGCTCCGAGGGAGACTGTAGGGAAAGGTGAGAGCAGTAAGAGCTTTCCTTCAGTATCACGCTGGAAAACGGAGAAACCTTCATGTAAATCTGCTCTGTGTACGGATCCAGAAAAACCGAATCCAGCGACATGCATGATTTGGTCCACATGATGACTCAGACTCTGAGGATGGATGTTGGAGATGCCGGACATGAGGTGGGAAAAGGCAGATTGGAGCCCAGCACGCTGCCCGAATTCAAGCTAAACCGCAGATACAGGGACACCCTGCTGCTTCACGGGAAAGCCAGGGAAGAGGCGGAGAACCTTCCACTCCAGGAAATACCAACAGGTTGGGACGCTGTGGTTTATTCCTAACTTCATATAGCCATCCGCGACCCCAGAACGTTCTTTAGTTTATTCCAAAAAAGTAAAAAAAAAAAAATAAATAAATCCACTGCACTGGAAAAAGTGTATTTAACCTTAATTTGAGTAGGTAAATTAGATAGTTTGTAAATGGAATACGTATTTTTACTCTTAAAATAAGATAATTATAAAATATACTCTTGAAATAAGACAAGGCAATTGTGTTTTCTTATTTCAATTGAAAAATGTCTCTTTTACCCCCTCAATCTGAGAACAAATGCACTTTTGCTTCCCATCCAGGAAGCTTTTTCAATTCAAAATGTCAGAAATAGCGTTGAGTTTGAGGCTTTATAGAGTGGACCAAAGAAAAAGCATTGTTTTGGTTTAGAAAACACCCAAATTGAACCGGACGGGGCAGTCGTTGGGTGCAATAATCAACTGTATCACTGTATTGGAGGTTTATACAGCCAATACAGCCATACAGTTGATTCCTTCCCTCTATCATCTCGGCCCCAACCCCCATGCAGGGGAATAGAGCACCTCCCTGTTCACCCAAGCAAAAAATTCCCTCTAACGACTCCCTTTTAGAGACAAAGACAGGTATCAGGTATTGCAGACTAACAAAGAACCCAATGACCCCCATTCCTAAGGGGTGGACTTGTTGGTCAGGTTCAATTTGCATGAATGATTTGCATATTTTCTAAGGCAAAACAAGGCTTTGTCTTAAGTCCATTCTATAAAACCTCTAAGTCGACGCTATTTCCAACCATTTGAATTGAAAAAGCTTCCTGCATGGAAACCAAAACGTCTTCAAACTTGGAAACAAAGTCCAGTGGATTTTTTTTTATTTTTTGGAATAATTATGACCTGGATGACTGAGAATGTTCCCCAGTTCTTGAGTTTAACTTCTCTGTTTCTCCAGAGGGCTCTCCATCCGGTCCAGCTAAAGTCAGACGGGCAATAGAGCGTCTGAGAACCGATGTGGTGAAAGGTCTGGGTGTTAAGCTTTTGGATAAGGTGCTTGAAATCATGGAGGAGGAAGATGAGGTCAAAAGAGAAGTAAGTAGAATAAACACTTTAACCCTGAAATAGAATCTTTAGATTAAGTGGAACACATATTTTCACCTGGGATGTCTCAGCTGGTCTTTATTTCCCTGAACAAGAAGGACTAATTAAGAGCTGACTTTTGCTGAAAAAAGAACCAATCAGATTCTGTGATTTAGTTATGAATTGAATGCCAGTTCTATACCCAAGAACCCAGCTAGCATTGCACTGCATCAGTCAGTATGGGTAACCCACCATAAAGTTCAGGAGATTCTCCATCTGTTTTTCTGACAGTTATATTTCTGCAGATCGGCCATTTTATGCTCCACCAACAGGAATCGACTCTTTAAGGAAAGCTGCTACACAACTTTAATGAACATTTCTGAAGATAATTAAGTTGTCATCTAAAAACAGCTTTATTGGAGTCAACCCAATCATGCAGACAGATTTAAAGACGGATTTGAAACTTTTTCCTTCTAAGGAAACTCAGCTGATTAAACAGAGAGGGGAGAACTCAGGTTTCAGCTTTCAAAAACCTACAATGCAGTAATTGAGTTAATCCCTTCCCGCTATCATCGCAGCCCCAGCCCCTGTACAGGAGAACGGGGGACCTCCCCTATTCAGTCAGGCCAACAATCGCCTTTAACGACCCCCTTTTCAAGGACATTAAGATGGGTATGGGACATTGCAGGCTAACAAAAGAAGCCAAATGACCAAAAATGGGTGGAGCCCTTCGTCCCTTTCAATTTGCATGTTTTCAAAACAAAAACAAGGCTTTTTTGGGCTACTCTATAAAACCTCGAACTCAACGCTTTTCCTGACATTTTGAATTGAAAAAGCTTCCTGGATGGGAAGCAAAAGTGCATTTGTTCTCAGATTGAGGGGGTAAAAGAGACATTTTTCAATTGAAATAAGAAAACACAATTGCCTTGTCTTATTTCAAGAGTATATTTTATAATTATCTTATTTTAAGAGTAAAAATACGTATTCCATTTACAAACTATCTAATTTACCTACTCAAATTAAGGTTAAATACACTTTTTCCAGTGCAGTGGATTTATTTATTTTTTTTTTTTTACTTTTTTGGAATAAACTAAAGAACGTTCTGGGGTCGCGGATGGCTATATGAAGTTAGGAATAAACCACAGCGTCCCAACCTGTTGGTATTTCCTGGAGTGGAAGGTTCTCCGCCTCTTCCCTGGCTTTCCCGTGAAGCAGCAGGGTGTCCCTGTATCTGCGGTTTAGCTTGAATTCGGGCAGCGTGCTGGGCTCCAATCTGCCTTTTCCCACCTCATGTCCGGCATCTCCAACATCCATCCTCAGAGTCTGAGTCATCATGTGGACCAAATCATGCATGTCGCTGGATTCGGTTTTTCTGGATCCGTACACAGAGCAGATTTACATGAAGGTTTCTCCGTTTTCCAGCGTGATACTGAAGGAAAGCTCTTACTGCTCTCACCTTTCCCTACAGTCTCCCTCGGAGCGCTCCGTGGAGCTTGTAGATGAGCTGCACTCATCTTCATCTGATCTTTGCTCTGCCAGTTTATCGTGCTGTAAGATAATAAACCAAACTCTTGTGAACATAGTATTTGGTAATACATTTTTAAATGTTTGCCTTTTCTGAACTGTAGAAAAATACATTAAAAAAAAGTCTGGGCTGACTTTACCTTACTAATGGACTCTGTCATGGAGTATGAAGCAGATCGAGTAACGAGGACATGTCGCTCAGCTCTAGCAGAGCTGACATCATACGATGACCTTCGCACAGCACTAGGACCTAGGCAAGGTAGAAAACAACCAACTAGGAGTTCCTCTGAATTTATAACAGTCTAATAATTCACAGAACATTTCAGTCAAACTGTTAAGGGAACAAAAGTATGTGGAAAATGATGCTTCAATATGTGGATGGGTTTTCTGATTTAAAAAAAAAATTCCTTTATGAAATTCTCAAACAGCAGCAAAAACCCATTTAAAGATGCATTCTTTTTAATGAAACAGCCTTCAGTGATGGGCAGGTGGCGTTACCTGCTGGTCCTGCGCTGTCTTGGGACTGCCTCAGACGTCTTCTCTCTCTGGCAGTCAGAGGACGTTCCTAAAAAGATGAAATTTTTCAATTATATAAAAATCATTAAAGGATACCATGAAGCATAGATACCAAAAGTGTTAATTTGATAGAAACCAGCAAATTTCCAAGTAAATAATAGACAATGATTGAAATGAAGCTAAAATTAGTTCATTAGGCATCATTTATGTTGTATATAGTGATTCTAACAGCTGGATTGTCACGATCTGCCTGGATAGCTCACCTTAATTAGTCATGCCTTTCACCTAC